AACCGAACCGAATTTAACTAGAACCGAACCGAATTTAACAACTACATTTTTAACTAGAACCGAACCGAATTTAACGCCTACGATTTTTATACGGTTCCATCGAATTTTAACAAGAACCGAACCGATCCCAGGCCTACTTTTTTGTCTTTCCAAAAAATAGTCCTATTATTGTCTAGGCTAAAGTCCCAACTCTTGTTTTTGACATTATTTCAATTTTTTTTTTTTTGACATTATTTCAATAAGAATAGTAAAAATTGTATGGTTGAAGTTTGTGTAGAGAAGATAGAAATGAGTGGAATCACAAATCAGTTATTTTAATCAGAAAAACAACATATTTTTTGGAACATTAAAAAGGGAAAACTAGCAATATCTAATGGGATACGCTAATGACTTATTTTTATTTCCAAAGTAAGCTGAGACACAGCTGTAGAGGTGTGGCTCCTTCTCTAGAAATCTGGAATCTACGACTTTCCTAGTCTGGTAAAAGTAGTGTCTTTGGTTTTCCTTCAATTCGAGTTTCGAGATCCCTAATAGTGATTTTTTATTTTCTTTTGAAGTACTTCTGTCTCATTCAAAAGTTCTCGTACATTATATTCTGGTCAACTTCAATTCTTCTTAATCTTTTACCTATATATCCAACTTTGATCAAATTTGAGTATTTCTTTTACTACTTTGTAAAAAAATTAATGTAGTTTTTGAATATGTAAATAAAACCTAAAAAGAATTTAATTTAAGATAAAGATCAGTTAACTTTATCGTCAGTCAAACATCCCAATTCGCGTGGGAATCTTTCTATTAGGACATCTCCAATGCTAAAACGTTAACGGTGCATACGTGACATGAGAAATAACCAATTAAAAAAACAATAAATACAATATCTCTCTCCTTATTTAAAGGATCTTACATCATTTTGGTAAGTTTATCTTCACAATGTCAAACACAATGTCTAGATGTAGACATTGTGATTGACATTGCAGACAAAAACTTACCATAAACACATAAGACCGTGGAAACAAGTAGAGAGATATTGTATTTATTGTTTTTTAATTGGTTATTTCTAATGCCACGTATGCACTGTTAACATTTTAGCATTGAAGATGCTCTTAGACACAGAGAGTAATTTATTTTAGGAAAAGTGCTAAAGTAATACTAAGTGGATTATTATCCCCTCCATCTAAAAAATATTTAATCAGCTTCTTTTCAAAGGAGAAATTTGTCCCTTTATAGGGCTCACGTAGATTTGCCAAGCCCTTGAAAATGGGGATTTGGATGTTATTGCCGCTCAATAGGGTACGTATTTGTTAGTGTTTGGTGTAGGAGAGGAGAACATTGAAATTTCTCATCAAAATGTGAAATTATGCGTGATGTAATCATGTAATAGTAAAAAAATAATTAAAATGTGCACTTGAGTAGCCTTTGTTTTTCAAACTTTTTTTATTATGCGTGATGTAATAGTAAAAAAATAATTAGTTTTTAGTGAAACTATCAAATAAGTTGTATATTTAAATAGGGGGATTTACTTAAATAGGAGTAAATAAATCCATAATTGCAAAAATAGGAGCAAAGTTTAAAAATTCCCAAAATATGAGTTATTATTTGAAATTGGACAAAAATACCCTGAAGCTTGCAAAATCACAGCACTGTCAAAATGCCGGATGGCCGCCAATTGCCGGACGCCGCCGCCGCCGCTGGCTGCCGCCACCGCTGCAGAATTGGCCGCCGTTGCAGAGTTGACCACCGGCGTTGCAGATCTAGTCATAGCTGCCACAGACCTGACCACCACCGACGTAAATCTTGCCAGATCTGGCGGACGCCATTCGTCGGTATCCACTCCTGCAGATCCGCCGTTGCTGCTGGAAATCCGACCTCCACGGTTGCAGATCCGGCTTCCACCGCTGCAGATCTGGCCACGGTCGAAGCTAATGCCAAAATCTTTACGAGATTGCCAACGTGATTGGAAAATGTCATCTTGATGGCATTTTCAAACAAAAATATGAAATTGAGAAGAGAAAATGCCATTGCTATGGCATTTTCAGAGTATAACTTGACATTTTTTTCACGAACAAAGAACATCATGAACAACATCTCATTTTTGGCAACTAGAACCTGAAATGAAGAGGGGGAGGCAGATCCAGAGAAGAAGATGCAGATGCATGAACAACAAGATACTTTACTCCAACCACCAAATCCGAGTTCAATACTTGCTGAAACTTCCTTGATGGCCATCTGACGTGCACTTTGTCGTGTGTGCACTCAAAATAATTTCAATACTAGCACTAATATGTAGTATAGTGAAGTAGAGTTCGTATCCACAGGGAAAGGAATAATTCTCTTTTTATGAACTAGTAAATAAAAGGGGGGTTTTGGTATTGTTGGAACTTAATTTAATTAAATACGAAGATGAACGACTTATATGAGATTTAATTCAAAGATAAAAAGGACTTGGCATTGCTACTTTCCACTTGTTGATATATTTTAGTCGATCATTGTTATATCTATAACTTATCCCCTCTCGAATACTCAATCGAGGAGTATATCCAATTCATCGAGGTTAGTTATTAACAACGACCGTTCATTAATAACCCTTACTATTAGTCAAGTATAGAACAACGCCATATACCGACTTGATAGTAGCATTTAATCTCTTAACTCCTTGATGAAATCAATTGAGATTGATAACCTCAACACAACGGTTTCGGTTTAACCAACAAAATTAATCCCTCTTAAGTTTATTAACCACAACCGTGCATTAATAAACCGAAGTTACTTACTTATGAAACCATCAACGTTTTAACCATCGGTTCGTTGAACGTTTCTAGTAATAATCAATGTTGGAACGTTAACTAATCGTCACTTAGCCACCCTCCAACATTAATATAGAATGAGATTAAGGGAAGAATTAATAATCAAGAGGAGAAAGTAAGAAAATAACTCACAACTTTAATAATCAATCAAGCTTCAAGAGCAAAACCAAGAAATGGAAGTTTAGCTCCTCATTTGGAGACTAAACATGCTATAAAAATATAAAAGAAATACTATTCTAAACTGAGCTTAAGAGTATGGAAGAAGGGATGCTCTTATTGTGAAGGAAAAGGGGTGTATTTATAGGTGTTTGGAGGTAGCAGGGTGGTGTACCCGACCGGGTATATAGGGTACTCGATCGGGTATTTTAGGCAGTTTCTCGGAAAATCACTTTTCTAGACATACCCTATCGGGTATGAAGGCATACCCGATCGGGTATGAGCCAAATATTCAAAATCTTGCACGTTTTTTTGTCTCTCCAGATCTCTCCAGATTCTGATTTTGACATCCGAATCAACTCAATACCCGATCGGGTATTGCCTATACCCGACCGGGTATATGAAATATTTTTTCAATCTTCTTTTTATCTTGTCCCCTTACACTTTCCTTGATCTTTTGGGGTCCAAACTTGATCCTTTGGATGATCTTGACCTGTTTTAAGCTCAGAATAATCCTCATCTAAACAAATTACATCTATCTAAGAAAATTAACTAATTACACCAAAAGTGTGTAATTTTCCAAACAACAACAAATAAAACTAGTTAAAATAGAAATAATACATAATAAAAATACAACTCTATCACCATCACCGCTACTCGCCGCACCAGGAAGCTTGTCTCTGCAGGGCGGAGATGGTGACCGGAGAAGAAAGGATGGCCGCCACACCTAGAAGATCGTGAGGAGGTCGGAATAGATGGTGAACAGGATGGAGAAGGCGTGAAAAAAGAAGATGATTAGCCGATGGCTATTGTGCGTGCCTGGAGAAAATAGAATGAACGAAGAAGGGGGTGTGCGAAGAAGAAGAAGATGATACCCGATGGCTGTTGTGCGTGAGTGAACAAAACAGAAGAAGGATAATTTTGGAAAAAAGGTCCTATATAGGGAATAAAATACACTTACTCCTGTTTTGGAATTTGAACAGCAATTTAGTCCTATTTAAGACAAAATTCCCATTTAAATAAGAAGAGTAATAGAATTATTCAATAAAAGAAAAAAAAACTGAAAATATTTTATTGTAGAACATTATCATGAAAATATTACTAACAAAGAAGTTAGTACGAATTAAATAAATAAAAAATTGCTTATGAGATCGAACCACTAATTACTATTATGTTTTGATAATATCAAACTTTAAAAATCACATTTTTTTCAAATTTAACAGTAATTACTCGTATTTTAAAAATAAAAACATGAGCCCATTTGGGAAGTTTTAAAGATAATGGCTGTGTTTGGATAATGGTGGATCAGCCATTTTTGGCGTTTCAAATGATGTTGGCGGTGGTTTGACTTTGATCAACCCGCTAAAGAAGGTCGTTTGGCAAACGGCGGACTGGAGCAGCGTTTTGATTCGAAATCGCCAAAATTCAACACGCTGCTCTAAGCAGTGTTTGAGCGCAGCGGGTTTGAATAATTTACGTAAAGTCCATTTAGCCCAAGTCACTAGAGAAGAAACTTCAAGTAAAGCCGTAGGCATGTACGTAGCAGCAACAATATAATTAACTGTGGGTCCTCTCCCACCATACTTCATTTTTATTCACTGCCATGCTAGTTATATACCGAGTACTATACTGTTGTATGTATTATAAACCAAATCGTAATAAAATTCATGGACAGATTTTTTTAAATAAAGAGAAGCCCTTATATGTAATTTTATCTAGAATCACATATATTGTAATCGCTAATTAGCCAAACATTTTTTTAACTATCCGCTAATCTAATCAGCCGGTCAAAATGCCAAATCAATCCGCCAGTCAAAACCGCCAACACAACCCGCAAATCGCTAACCGCTAACCGCTGTTTACCAAACAAGGCGAAATAATTGTCCGCTGATGTTGAAGTCTAGCATAATTGTCCACAGTACTTATGGTATATTAGTAGAGAGACTTTGACTTCCTATCGAGAACAGCGGTCAACCGCGTGCAATGCCCATGGCCACCAATAACCACCATAACTTTCCGTTTCATAATTTGAGCATTAAATGGCGCTGATGAAAATGGATTCAAATATTCTCTGTAAAACATGAAAGATCCATTCCCATTACTTTCATGGCCAACAATTCCCAAGAGATTTCTGGGGAGGACCCATCGCCAACCATTTTATCACCATTTTGCCCTTTCTAGATCGCCTTCTCCATCGCTACGTTACATAATTTAAGCTGGAAAAGGAAAAAACAAATGGGCCGTATGGGCGTAAAGCGGAAATTTCTGTTGAGAACCGCAATCCTTCAGGCGTACCTGACTCGCCTTTGGCACCAAATCCTGGCTCGCCGCATTCACAGCAAGGCCGCCGTCAAGTACCGCCAGCTCCCGCGCTGCTCCTCCACCGCTTCCGCGTCCTTTCCCTCCTCCGCCATCTCTCTTCTGCCACCCGATCTCGACGTCGATTGCAGCTTTGCCGTTGGCACCTCGGCGCCGCCGTGTTTCGATCTCCACAAGGACGCCTCCGATTTGGTCTCCTTGAAGATTAGCCTCTTAGGCGATATCCAAATCGGCAAGACCAGTTTTCTGGTTAGTCTATTTTAACTCTGGTAGCATCTCATTAGATTTCACGGGCTTAATTAGTCCGTAATTTAGTTTGATTTTGATGAATTGTACGGAGTAATTTATAATTGTGGATATTGATTCATTTGTGTGTATATATGGAAGACCCAATACGTGGGGAAAGAGAGAGCGAAATTATGGTCTTCAGGAACGGGACTAAATCAGATGGACAAGACAATCAATGTGAAAGGGGCTCAGATTTCATACAACATTTGGGAAGTGGAAGGTATTTTTTAAACTTTTTTGTTATATTTTGGAATTACTTGTATAATACGGAGTAATTTTCAATGAACACAAATAATTTGAAGCCAAACTGAATACAAAATAGTGCAGGCACGGATTTTTCTTCTCAGTATCATATCCATGCTGCCTGTAATGACTCTGTGGCCATGTTATTCATGTTTGATCTCACCAGTAGATGCACCCTGAATAGGTACCCCTGTAATTCCTCTTAATGCAAAACCGGGATTTTGTTCGATTTGATCTAAACGGATCTGTTAAGGATGATCAAATTGTTGTTTTTATGTTGGTGCAGTGTTCTGGGGTGGTACCAACAAGCCAGAAAATGGAATCAGGTGTGTATATTAAAAACATTATGGTTTTGTGGTTGTATATGAAGCAGATAGATTATATTTAATATGTACCTATATCTTGGTTAATTAACTTAATGTAATTCATCAGGCAGCAATTCCTGTCATTATAGGGACAAAGTTCGATGAGTTTGTTGAACTGCCTTTGGATTTGCAATGGACAATTGCTAGTGAGGTACAATATACAAATATATTCTCATTGGACCAAATTAGGAAAATTTGCAAAGAGAGTAGAGCTGTGTGTGTTTTTATAATTAGCTAGAAGTTAATTACATGAATGAAACTAAAGATGGAATAAATAAGCAGGCAAGAGCATATGCAAGGGCACTGAATGCAACACTGTTCTTCTCAAGTGCAACATACAACATCAATGTGAATAAGGTCTTCAAGTTCATCACAGCAAAGCTCTTCAACTTGCCATGGAAGGTTGAAAGAAACCTGACTGTGGGAGAACCCATGATTGATTACTAAAGTATATATACACACATTCAGAGTAGGACACCTCCATCCACCATATATTGTACATTGGATTTATTTAAAATCACATATGTATATTTTGATTAGCTTCCTAGCATATTCAATTATTCATAGTGCATATAATTTACACAAGTCAACCGGTTGCTAGATCATCAGCTGTTAATCAGTTGATGTAGAATATATATATAAATAGATCAAGTGACTCGGGTTGTTTTTCAATCTAGCATTCTTCTTTAGCGAGATTACATTGGAGGGATATATGTAATTTTAGTTTTGTAACTTTTGGTGGTTCTATGATTAATCATATAAAACTTTAGTCACTTGTAAATTTAATCCTTTAACTAATAATATTTTGTAATTTAATGAGTTCCCTCAAAGGTATACTTTTTAGCAAAAATGTGTTGGGATTGAAATACACACAATACTTAAACCGATAAGAAAAACATAAGAGTTTGATTACCCAGTTCGCCAAGAATGAGTACGTGTGGGGGCGTTATCAAGCCATGATGTTACTATTATTTTCTCATAATGATTACAATGAGAGAGCAAGTATTTAAAGAGAGTAAAATCCTAATCCCAATAAGAAACTCGCGGGCCCATAAATTGTACCAGAGTAGACGCCGCTAGCATGGGATATTTTGATTGAAAGCATGCATTGGGAAACACTTTGGACATTTTAGACTCCTATTTTCTAACCAACTTCCATTGTCACCAACTTCAGTCAGAGTATCCTTCCCTTTTCCAATTGTTATTACGGACTACGGAGTATTAATTAACCCATTCAACTTGAATGATTAGAAATGGAAAAAATTATTTGTACACATTTAAGATATTAATGGAAAATTGGTGATATATAAGAAAATATGCCAATAAAGTGGGCACCAAGGGATCACCAAGTTTTCAAATAATTTTGACTGCTTTTAGTTGTTTATAAATCCATAACTTCTCCATTCGGGAAAGTTCTTATCTTCACTTACATACATATTTATCTGAAACAAAGTTTAAAGAAAAAAAGTAAAAAGTAAAAAAGAATAAAGATAGTTGTGACATTATTATTTTTATAGGAAGGAAAAATCATTTTTGACATACATCTAAATAAGAAAGTATGATTTCTTTTTCGAAAGACATTTATATGAATAAATGTACTTCTCTCCTTCTTTCGTGCACATTAGATCTATTGACTTCAAGTTGGACTTGGGATACATACTTTTTTGTGTACACACTTTTACACATGTCTATGTAAGCATTTTTTTTGTGTGTTCAGACAAAAAAATGCCTACACAGACATGTGTAAAAGTGTGTACAAAAAAACTATGTACCTTTAAATTTTTCATTGACTTCACCACTTAGGTTTCTATTTCTACTACTCGTCTCCCTGCTCCATTTTCCTTCTTTTAGATTTCTTTTATACGGAGTAATTAATTCCAAATAGTTTGTTTTACCACATTAAGAGTATTTTCTTGTCATTTGAATACAAAAATGCCATCATTATTAGAGTTTAACATTACATTGAAAACAATGCTTCTTTTATGACATTACATTGGTAATCATATTTAAGAATTTTTCTTAATAGTTATAGTGTCTTAATATGCCTCACTCTCTTTAGAGCAGTTGCCCACTTGCCCACACACCAATTCATTTAAGCACGGGCGTATCCAGGATTCCGGAATGCCCTGGGGTGAAAATAAATTATGCTAAACTTCAACATCAGTGGGGTGGGGTAAATATGAAAATTTTAAAAATTCACACTAAAATAAATTGAAAAAAGTTTAAGTTGCTCTGAGTTTCAGCCCACCATAACCTATACATAGATCCTTCCCTGCATTTAAGCAAAGAGAAACACGAGCACTTGCATTCGATCTTGATCTCACATACCACAATGTTGAAGGATACAAACATTGTCACTCTTTTTCATAAAGAAAACTAAGATTTACCGACCATTAATTAGTAATTATTACTGCTAATTAAATGAGTGAGCCATTAATTATTTCCACTTAAATACTTCCCAATATCACAGATCTACACGAGTGATATCGTCAGGACCCACAGGCAAGCCTAGGCGGCATCCTATTGGCTGGTGGAGTATGTTGAATTCCAAAACTTCTCAATTTCCTCTGCATTTCTTCCAGGGATTCTCCCTGCAATTAGTGGCCACCTATTGTTACGAGTCATGAGGATATACAGTGTTAGAATACTAAATATTAATTGCATTTCTCGCAAATAACATTGATACCTTAATTCTTAAATGAATCAAAACGATACCTTAACTATACATAAATGTTTCAATTTGAGATTTTATTCAAATTTCCGACAAAAAAATCACGCATGGCGGCCAGAATTCTATGCGTAAACTCTACTTCATCTTAGTTTTGTCCATATGATCACTATAGAGTGACTCCACACATGGAATTTTGATCGTCATGAGGTTTTTTTGGTCGGAAATTTGTATAAAGTCTCAAATTGAAACATTTATGTATAGTTAAGGTACTATTTTGATTCATTTAAGGGTTAAGGTACCAAAATGCAACATTACCAATAGTTGAGGTACCATTTATGCACAAAGTTTTGTGTATAAATTTTGTTTGCAACACGAAAACGTAAGTACGTAACTAATTAAGCATTTTCATTAAGGCTACTTTTTACAAAAAAAAATACAACAATTTTATGAGTTAAGCAACACTACGAACATGTTTTCAATGAGTTTTGTCATTAAACAATCACCTATTAATTGTTTTTAGGCGATTGTTTGATTTTTTAATTGTTGATTGTTATCTATTGAGTGTTGGTGTTATAATTTATTGATTTTGTCAAACGAAAAATATCAATTATAACAAATTGATAAATTTACTTAATTTCAAGGTGTGATAAAAATGATTGAATCTGGAAAGGGTAAAGAAAAAAGAGGAGAAAATTAATGAAAGCGGTGCTAAGTAAAAATGGTTCAATGGAAAATTTGTTTCTGTAAAGAAGTCAAATTCTGAAAATGAAATGATTCAGAATGATTACGTCATTGGATGTGAGAATATAGGAGTTGATAATAATAGAGTTAATTTCTTAAATAAGACTAATATAATACATTAGTAAATTGCACAGATAGGACCACGAGTGTTTCCTTAATTCCTAAATAAGAACCACCAATATTATAATATTCTTGTTTTACATAGAAGAGGGTTTTACAATTTTTTTTAAATGTTTTCCTTACAAATTGTCGTTGTTGTTCTTATTATTATTATTATTATTATGCATGTTAGTTTAGGCAAAAAAATTAACTTTTTTTAAACTTAGGCTCATTTTATTTCTCCACCCCTAGGCCCTCAAACATATAGGGTCGACCTTGCTAGGATATTAATATACTCTGTAACACTTTATTAATTCATATATTATTGGTGTAAGATTATAACGCCCTTTTCACGACCAGATACTTCATCTCTTCGTCATTGTCATTGTGTAATCATAACGTCATTTTTTCATAAATGTCTCACACCATGGTTCAAATACTGCTCATTCAGTTAATTGTGGTTATTCTTCTCATATAATTGTGGTACAACTTCTCATGAAATGTAACCACCTTAAGGAGAATAAGTACGTTATGTAACCAAATACTTTTGCTACAATAGTTAATATTCATTTTCTTTTAGTATATTGTATAGCTAGAGCGGAGTTGTGCTACGTAGAAGTATGTATTTGACAATTTGTATTAGCACTCTCATGTTCTTGGACATTTGGACTGAAATACGTAATATATACTACGTAGTAGTATGTACTCGGTAATTAATTTATATAGAGTTTCCATCTATTCAGAAAACTCAATTGTACTAACCTTTCTCCAACCAAGTTGAACATTCTGGCAATCAGGATTTCCTCATCATGTGAGAAGACAAGCTTCTTTTCTGAATCTTTACTGGTGACCTCGGCTGCCAAGTGCCAATAACATCATAATTCATAAAAAAAATCCGCCCTGCTTCTTGTACACGTTTAAAATTTACATGCCTATACACACAATTATCTTTAAAAAAATGAAGTCTTTTTAACGATTGGGAGTTGTCTACATGTATTTTTTTTTAAGAGACATGTATATATAGACAACTAGGAGCACATATAAGCGTGTATAAAATATAAATACGTGTAAAATGTCATATACGAATAGAAAAATCCTAAAAATTATCCACATATTTATACAAAGTATATAGACCACTTTATCTTTGAGTCAATTCCCTAAATAGGACTAAAAAGTGGCAAAATTGCACAAATATGACTACATTTTTTAAATTCCCTTGACTATTTATGTGTGTTTGGACCAATATACCCTTGTAATTTGTGAAATGTTTTAATTAATAATAAAATCATGAAAAAATAATAAGAATCGAAAAAATACTAACAATCGTAAACAAATAATAGAAAATTAATAAGAATATTTTTTTAATTTTTTTTTTAAATTAAAAAAAATCATAAAATTAAAAAAAAAACATTATCACCCCTGCCACCCCCAGCAGTACCAGCTCCCATCACCGGAGAAAAATGTGCCAACATTTTAAATAATGCCATAATGATGGCATATTCAATGAAAATGTTGGCATATTGAAGAGTAATTATGCCATCTTTTTGGCATTTTCAGAAAAAAGATGGCATTTTTTTACCAAAAGTGGAAGAAATTTCACCAATCAGAGGTGGTGGTGCTGGGAGGCGGTGGGAGGCGGTGGGAAAGGTATCCATAATTTTTTTCATTTTTTATGGGTTTGTTACTATTTTTTATTATTTTTTAAAAAAAATTAAAAAACTAAAAATTACATTTTTTAATTTATAAATGTTTTATAATTTTTTTATAATTTTTTTACGTTTTTAAATATTTTTTACGTTTTTAAAGCATTTCATTATGAATTAATACTCTTAGGGGTATTTAGAGTATAAAATCAATGTTTAGTCCTATTTAGGGAATTTAAAAAGTAGTAGTCTTATTTGTACTTTTTAGGAACTCATTAGTCCTATTTAGGACAATTTCCGTTTATCTTTTTGTCGTTACAATTTTATTTTGACCCCAAATATAGTTAGTTGTATATTTCTTTTGGAAAAATAGTTAATTATATATTAAAATATGTAATCTGACTTTTTGGAATGTACAGTGCAATTTGAGACTAATTTAGTACTAGTAGTAAATATTTTGAATATCATATTTAATTTTTATGCATTACAAAGCAAAATAATGTAGAGTACATAAATAAAACCAATTCCAAACTGTCACTAAAAACAATAAAACATGTGTAAGTGTGCAGTGTGTAGATATTAGTAACATTATCACTAACTATAATAATTACTTCGTATGTTTATGTTCAATTTTACAATATAGTGA